TCACTAGAATAAGGGAAGCCACAAATGTATTATAACGTATATAGGCTCAACTAAACATTTGGGTCTTCATAAAATCATCAAACATAATACCAGCATGGGATCCTAATTGCTTTTACCAAAATTTCCTTATTTAGCCCTAGCAAATTTAATGCAAAAATTTCAAAATTTTTCAAAAATTTAACTAAAATTTTTAACTAATGTAACCAACCCGCTTCCCCACACTTAACTTATGCAATGTCCCAATTGCATATTATGCATGATAAAGAACAAGAAAATAAAGAGAGAATTGGAACAAACTCCCCTGCAAGGTTTATATTCTTCAAATTAGCTCTATCTTCAGCTGACTTTAGACATGGGAACAGCCCATCCATGCCTTGGGTGTCAAATCTTGTGAGGTACAACTCCAAATATGCAGGAAAATAGTCTTGTAAAATCTTCAGGAAATAGATTTAGAAGAATATGAGTAAACCCATATCAAATATGGTCAAAATCCAAATGTTGATAGTGAAATATCAAGTCACTCACCGAGTAAACATGGCTGCTCGACGAGCAGAAGGCTTTTTAGCAGATAAACATGATTTTTCAAGTGGACTCGCTGAGCCCAAAGTATGCACTCGACGAGTACATTGTTGAGTGATAAATGTCTCTTCTGTTTTCAAGTCTATTTCTGTTGTGGTTGGGTATGATGATTTAGTGTCTTTTCTTCATTTTTTTCTTTAATAAGCAACACTCTTAACCCTCACTTGACAACGGACTCAACCTTAAACTCAAAAATTGCTCATATTCTTCTAGACCCGACCCTTACTCTTGACTTCACACTTGGAACACTCGCATGCATCTTAACATCAATCTGAAAAGAAGAACAACCACAAGTGATAAAAGCAAAGTCCTATTTAATGTCCTAAAAGTTTAGAGTTCCAAACAACCAAAACAAAAACAAACATAACAAATTGTTTTTAAAACATCCAAATTAAACATAAAATAAAACTTCATTCTTCATCTTCCTCCTCATCTCCTTGCTGCCCACTCCCTCCAGCTTGGGTTCTCATTGCTTGAATCCTTTCGTCCCAACTTGATATATATGGGAATCCGGGTCCCGGCCTTGGTGCAAAATTCATTTGCTCAAATAAATAAGCAAATGACTCATTAACATAATTCACGCCTCTACCCATTTCGTCGTGGTACCTTCTCGACTCAATGTTGTACCAATCCATGGGTAACTCATCAACCACCGGAATAACCAGTGGGTCTTCCCTAACTCATTCTCTCCTTTGTCTCACCCTTCTTCCCGGTTCCTCCGGAACTAATGGTTCATCATCGTCGGGGATAGAAATATGCCCCCCACCAAAATCCTCAATAATCCTAGCTCTCTTGAATAATGTTATGCTAAAGGGAGGACTAGGAATCATTGTTAATGCATGTGCCTCTTGTTGGTCCAAAATACCATAGGTCCTTGCAAGCCTTAGCACAAACATGACCCTGTTAATCTTTGAAGTAACCCGGTCCTTAACTGCCCCTTCCATTAAATATTTTTCCATACAATATGGCAAGTTGCAAAAGACATTGGGAGTGATAATACTCCACACGTAGAAGATATCTAGAGCAGGGACTTTATTGTCATCCTTTCGCATGTTAATAGAACTCGCGATCAGATGATGTATCAAGCGATGAATCGGGGAACAGATGCTCCCCTCTTGGGCGGATGAAGGTATGTAAACCCGGTTTGCAATTGTGGTCCACCAAGTTGATGCAACCACATCTTCCGACAAGTCTTTATGTCACTGTTCCAAGAAAGATTCAAAAGTCTCAGACATTATCACGTGTTGATCACAAATACCAAGTCTTAATGCCAACTCTGCAATGTTGCACTAAGGCATCTCTCCTCCAAGACAGAATGGAATAAAATTTGGGTTGTAGTAGTCATTACCACCCCGGATGGAAATGATGGCAAAAAAACTCCGCGCACAACTCCTGATACACGGGTTCTTGAAGCTCGAATAATCTAGTCCATGTTAGGTGTGTTAAACCCAACAAATAATAGGGGTACGATATACTCCAAAATAATCCCACTATATTTCACTAAAAGGTAGTACAAGGCAAGCAGGGTCGATCCACAGAGACACGGGATAATTAGTCTATACCTCTTTGCGCAAGGTACTATGGTCACCAACAGTAATAAGGGGGGTTTAGATTGCAATTACTAAACAAAAAAATTTAAAACACGAGTAGACAACTAAACGAATGAAGTAAGTTCAGATTTTGTAAGGACTCCAACTCCATGTATGACAATTTAGCAATGTGACTCAAAGATGACACAATATTCGTTCAATTCTATCTAAGTTGGTACTTGAAAGTGCTAATAAGCTCTAACACTTCCCATTCACCTTATTAATTAACCAAAACAAGCTATTTGATTAACCCTAACCTTATTAACCTAATCTAAACAAGCTCTTAGAATTAGATTATAAGATTGCATGAAGCTTTATGTGAATGTTCCCAACAACACCCAATACTCCTCATAAGCTCGGGAGTGTAAAAGTGTATGAATAAGATTTACACTAAATTCATTCAATAGAGATCAATTTAATGCTTGTTACTTGTTCAATTTCACAAAACAATTACGGATTTTGTAAAAGAGATAACTTGAATGACCTAACCCCAATTCAAATGGCCAATAAGAATCACAATTAGAATCAAACATTCGATTGAAGCAAAATCAAATTCATTAGATAGAAATTAAGAACAAACATCATGTCATATGATTGAAGTCACTACCAAGAAGTCAAAACATGAAATTGGAGAAATTAGGGTTCTAGCCACACATGGCTAGAACAAGATCACAAGAATAAAAGATGGAATTAAAGTGCAATTACAACTTACAAATACTAGAAATAATATTTCCAAATGATTAACGGACAAACCCTTGCAAAAACCTTCGAATTCTCCTTTCCAATGGTGCTCTGATATGTTGTGTGTATGTAAAAATGGCCCTTAACCCGTAATATGAAAGATAAGAAAAACTGCCAAAAGTTGGTTTATGGGTTGAACACGGCCCGTGTTAAGATAGGCTAAACAGATACGGGTCATGTTCAACAACACGCCCCGTGTTGATTTGCACTAAACTGACACGCCCCGTGCTCAGCACGGTCAACAGATCCCATTTTGGTCAAACACGCCCCGTGCCCAGTTTTCAGTGTAAATTCAACACGCCCCATGTATCTCTTTGACTCCAATTCCAAACTTGATTTTTCCAACTTTTTCGTTCCTCGCCCGATCATCCCGAAATCTTCACCAATGCTTCCCGGCACTTCCCAAAGCACGTTCCGACCTCCGGTTTACATGAAAAAGACATAAAAGTGTGCAAATAAGGTTGTTCAAGGAATTAACCTAAATATGCTAAAACGCAATAAAAACAATGAAATTATTCTAAGGACATACATAAAAAAATGGCTAAAAGTTGTGCAAAAAGGTGCACAAAATGCACCTAACAGATCTCCCCAAGCTTAGACCTTTCTTGTCCTCAAGAAAGAACAAGAAACAGACAAAACAAGATGATTTCTAGATGACAAAAGAAACTTAGAACGAAAAGGGGATGAGGGATCCTAAAGGTTAAGAATGAATGCATCCAATGTAATGCCATGAAAATTTAAGGTATGTACAAAATGCACTTGAGAAACAAAATGAAGCAAAAGAAAAGAAGATTAAGAACAAATACAAAATATGTACTTTTGTAACTAAATACAGGTACGATCAGACTTTACATCGATAGGGCTCCGATCATTGATACATTGGCAACCATGTTGTTTCCTTCCACATATCACAGACTCTCAATGTGACGAAGACCCGAAACGGTGTAACCCAATAATCCAACCAAAGTTTTATTTAATCTTTATACCTTACTAAGCTTTATGGGCGAAAACAACATAGTCCGGATTTCATGTCCTTAAGACTAGATGGCCAAAAATCAGAATCGACGCATCCTTAAGAACCCGTCACAGCGAATCAGCTTTCGCTGAAACAGTGAGCCCACCCGAAGGGGCCCAACTCCTATGCTTTCACTTTTTCGAGAGCCACAAGTATCATATCACACAGTTCTTCATTCGGCATATTTGACTTGAATTGGCTTTTGAGTTGATTAAACTTTGATTTGTACTTCGTTTTGAATTTGGATTCTTCAATTTTCATTTTTGGAATTTCTTTAGATTTCTTTGTTTTGGCATTTGAAATTCTGATTTGGGTACTAGATGTGACAGTTGTACCCTTCCTTCTTTCTTGACTGTGCGGATCTAATACTTAAGCTCTCTGTCATCGCGAGGGTGACGCGTGTCAACAAATAGGTCCGTGTTTTGTGGGTCTAGAGTTGGCGATAAAGATTCTTTTTAAACATTCAAAAGCAAATCATCCTAAAGCTGTTATTACCGCCCAAAAAACATTTCAATATAAATTCTTTTTATTATCTAAGGCTAGGGTCACGAATTACGGCGTTTGGGTCCCCTAGTTATGACAGCTGATTCTACGCTTCCGGTAACTATCCGGTCGCCTCGGATTTTTTTTTTCATTTGATTTCTCGATTTCCCACTTCATGGAGCAATTGTATGCAAAGAGTGTCATCATCTCGTACACTTTTTTTTTTGAAAAACAAATATAAAATGCAAGGAAAATGAAAATAAGAAAATAAAATAGAAAAGATAAAATAAGAGAGAATAAAATAAAAATTTTGAAAAAATGAAATAAAAAAATTTTGAAAATAAGAAAATGCATGCATGAGTATGAGTGAACCTTATATACAAGTCTACCCCTCCCCAAGCTTGAAGATAAACATCGTCCCCGATGCTTGGAGAGGGTGGAACAACCTAAAATGGAGGTGGAGGAGGAGGATAATAGTTGGGGTTTCGTGTCCAAGCCCAGAAGTCCTCCTCATGTTTGCATTGACGCTCTTGATCTCGAGCTTTCTGGGTGGTGAAGGTGGAAAAATTATGGGTCAGGCTGGTAATATCCTGCTAGTAGGTGTCGAGGCAGGTATGGATTGACTGGAATTCATCCATATACTGTTGATGATAAGGTGGGGGTGCAACAAAATGGGATGAGCTGGCACCACCGGTGGGGGAAGCATGGCGGGGCTCCTCCTCCTCTTCATCATCATCACCATCTTCCTCGTTTTCTTCACTTTTCTCATCTACCTCGGTGGAGTATGAGTGGGGGAAGATGTATGGAATGATTTGCCAATCGGTCATGTGAATGGGATTTCGGAAATCAAGAATGCCTTTATTTTTAGGTGTGATGAGGAGCTTTGGATCATGATTTTGACCCACGGTCCAATGGTGTGTGCCATCGCCTGCCGAACGGAAGAGTCGCATGGACTCAAGGATAGTAGTGGTGAGATAAGGCTCACCCGGTAGTGGTTGATGGGGACCGGGGTATGGGGCTCGGATTTGGGCGCTCTTGGCGAGCATGCTGACAATACCCCCACAAACAATCTTTCCCGATCAGGATGCACTCAGGCGGATGAGCTTGTGGCAGAGAAACCGACCATAATGAGGAATGAGGTTATTCTCGTTATGGGTCATTGCATAGAGGATTTGAGTTCTAGCGCGTTGATGGTGCTTAGCTCCTCTCTAGGGGCGATGAGCGAAGCAATGATTCTATGGGCTACCTTTATCACAGGATGGATACGTGATGAGGCTTTAGCAGCATTAGAGACATATGGGTGTAATTGGGTGAGTTGGGTCCACCATGTGATGTCAAAGTATCCTTGAATTGGGTCAGTGGGGCCAAATGTGTTTTCCGTTGGGGCCCTTGATCCAAAGAGATCTCATAGTCTTGATTCGTTAGACGGAAGTAGAGGATCCCATGGTCTAAATAAACTGAGGATAGAAACTCAGTTGTTGGGGCTTTATAGCTCAATTCATGGACCCTCAACAAGCCGTGCCACCCTATGTTGCAAAACAGGGTTTTGACTTGATTGTAAACATGCAACTCTTTTAAGGATGGAAAATGCGCGAATTTTTGGATGGCATGACCCCGTTTAAGGAATGAATCAAGTTTGCCCTGTTGAATTGGGCCAAGACATACGACACCACAATGAGACGGGTCGGCTGGGGGTGTTGCGCACCTAGATGGGGGTGATGGGGATCTAGATGGAGGTGATGGAGTCCTAGGCTTCTGACGGCGGGCGGATGATTTGGTTTGTCTTGGTCTTTTGGAAGATGCAGCTTCCATAGTCAAGTTTGGGACAAATTAAAAGTCAATAGGTCAAAATGTCAAAAGTCAACTGTTGACGGGTCTAATCAACTTCGAATTTGGCCACCAAAATTTCGTGGGAAATTTGGTTTTCAAAGATTTCTACTAAGAATCAAGTCCAAATAGACCACAATTTCAAGTAATTTGACTCAAGAACACAAAATCCAAAAGTTAAGAGTTGGGAGGAATTTACTAAATCGTGTGTGGGATTGTGTTGTTGTTGATGGAAAAGATCTTCCTTAACCTCCCCAAGCTTTCCCTCTTTAAGATTAAAACACTAAAACATCATAATCATATGAGATTTTCGGATCTAGGGTTTGTCAAAAACCCCTAGACCCACCATTAAAATGCAAGAAAATGGTGTTTAAGATGGAGAAGATGAAGTGTAGATGATGAAAATCAAACCTTTTTGTAGATGAAAGCCAAAATCTTGAAGAAATTGAAAGGTTTTTGATGAAAATCGGACCTAAGGTTTTTGTTGGGAGAGAGGGGCTGTTAGGAAGTGAAAGTGGGGACAAATGAGGTCAAGTCCCGATTTTTTTTCTTTAAAAAGGGCCGAAACTGCTGCGCGGACACGACCCGTGTCGCCCCAGTCCAAATTGACACACCCCGTGTTGGGGGGTTTTATGTTGAGTTGAGGACGAACACGACCCGTGTTGGGTCAAGGCCAAAACAAACACGAACCGTGTTGCTCTCTGGAAGAATTTGGGACTTTTTTGCATGAACACGACCCATGTCCATTATAGGCCAAAACCAACATGACCCGTGTTGGTCTATGGAAGAATTTGGGACTTTTTTTACACGAACACGACCCGTGTTTCATTAAGGCTAAGAGGGGCACGACCCGTGTTGGTCCCTGGATGCTAATCCCCACTTTTTGAACTTGAAAACTTCCCTCTCTTTGAAATGAAATACTTTTGCATTGGGTCCTTCTATAACCACAATATGCATACTTTCTCATTAAGTCTTAGTATGGTTAATAGTTAATGTATTCTTGTATGGCATGACTCATATTGGGTCCTTCTATAACCACAATGTGCATACCAATTATACATAACTCGAGTCGAATAGACCTTCAAATAAATGATCCTACTCTATATCCATATCCAAACAAGGAAAAGGAAGTAAAGCTAAACCACCCATTCTAAGTCTATAAAACATTAATTATATATAACTGTAATATATGCACTTAATACGTATAGATCTACCAGTAAGGGTCCTTTGTTTTCACATAGTTGGTTCATAGTACTATAGTGCCTAAAATACTCTTGTGGTATTTAAACTTTATGTTCTGCTTTAGAATTCCTCTGTATGAGTAGAGTTGGTAAGTTTTAGACTTTTCGCAACACTACCATCACTCCCAAACACATGTTGGTCGTATCTCAAATAAATATAGTTGATCATGCTTTATTTATTCCAGATATGATTACATAACTGTCCAGGTTTAACTCTAGTGCCCAACATCCAAATACTTTTATGTAGTTATGACTGTTATATTGTTTTTTATGTATGAGTGTTAGTATACTTCTTATAAAATAATTGTATTTATAGTTGTATATCTTTTATGGTCTCATATACTTAGTTCACTACAAACAATGCTTTGATAGCAATCTGTTACACCCCCAAACCGAGGCGGCAGAAACGTCCTGGGGTAGATGACGTCATGTTAAGTATCACAACACATGCATCAGATTAATCAAAGTACAACAACCATTGCATTAATTAAAGTATAATTTTTACATGTCTGTCCAATCATTGTATATTGACACCAAAATAGATATAGCAAAAGACAAAAGACGCAACTCTATACCGCTCCGTCTTCTTAAAATCTCAGGATGTACCAATTTACTGGTTCCCTGAGAATACAAGTTTTTTGAAAAAGAAAGTATTAACATTTAAGGCGGTAAGTGCATTAAGTAATTCTGTTTAGAAGTTTGTTATCTGTTCCTTGAAATCGTGAGAATATTTATTGTTCCAGAAAATCCAATATTTTCTAAAATAACTGAAAGTAGTTTTAATACCATAAAACCGTTTTATGTAAGTGTTGTTGTACTATGAAATAGTATAACATAGTTTTAGATCACAATAAAATGAATAAAATAATGTTTTCTGTATTTCTTATGTTTTTCAAGTTTTGTAATTGTACTCTTTGAAATCCTTGTAAATATGAGTGTGCCTGGCTCCACCAGTTGTAATTGTAAGTTATAATGTAATACTGTAAATCGTCTCATCGTAAAACCAGTACTTTGTATTCGTACGTTTTGGTTTAATTATTCATAAACTAAACTTGATTAACATCTTCTCGTGGGTTATTATAACCATACTAAGACTAGATGGATTGATACAATGCTTTATGGGTGTTAGAACTGTAACGATATTTGTCACTCATTAGCATACCATCCTAACTGTAGCGAATAGTCTGAGTGTAGGATTGTCAATCCTATAGAGATCTATACACATTTTTCTCACTCTCTATCAGGAGGTTCAGGTTATATCATCAGGACTATAATAGTATTGCTTAAATAAATAAGCGGCTGAACAATGTCTCACGAAAACCATATTGATGCTTACGTGTATAATAATGATGAAAAGTCATTCTAAAATTAATGAATTGATGGTATATTCCTTTTTCTAGTATACTTGAATATAAAGTATTTTTATGAGAGTATATTTTTCAACTTTGTATAACTGATTAATGAAAATAGTATGAGAGTTCCATAAATTATATCTATTATAATTTATATGTGTATTCTGTTTGACATGTAATATTCAGGAAAGTACCCCCTTTGTTCGACATCTTACAAAGGATAATGAAACTGAATGAAATAACTTTTATATTCATATATATATATATATATATATATATATATATATATATATATATATATATATATATATATAATATATATATATATATATATATATATATATAATGGAAACAACATTCGGACAAATAACTCTACCCTAAGCCCACATCCAAACGTGGAAAAAAAATAAAGCGAATTATTAGTCATAAGCCTTTTAAATCTTATATATATATATATATATATATATATATATATATATATATATATATATATATATATATATGTGTGTATATATATATATATATGACTTTCATAAAATATATGTTAAAAAGAGTTTTTAAAACATTAAACATTTGTTTTAGAAATGTTAGAAATTATTTATTTGTAAACACAATATTCTTGTGTTAGAGTTGTATCCCCCCCCCCCCCCCCCCTAAAATAGTGAAAAATAGTAAAAACGCAGGGGTGTGAACTCACCTCGTATGTGAGTTTTTGGTTAGTTATGATGCGGTTGTGACGATCCTTTGCTTAGAACACGCAATTATAAATGTATCCAAATAATAGTTATACACATAATTATATGTATAAATTGGCTAACTATTAATTTAACATGATAATAGATACTAAATTGTACAAACTACCTACAAATTGTGAATGCGTCCTTATAAAAGTTTGAAGGTTTCCGGGTAGTTTGCAAATGTGACGAACTTTGATATAAGTTTTGAGAGCATATGGATGAAATGAGTTTACTGTAAGTGTATAATGAATTCATTTTTTCCTAAAGTATAAAGGAACTCATAAGGTGGTGTAAGCTTAGGAAAGTGTGTCTAAGAGATTATGATTGAGGTTTTCGGTCATTTAAGGCCTTATCTTGGAGAATTTGGTCCTTCATGACCGAATTCCCCTTGTATTCAATCTTAATGTGGGACTAAATGAAGAGAATTCGGTTTCTTGGTCAAATGTAAAGGAGAATTCAGTTTTAGCTTTCATTCTTTAAGGGAATTCAGTTTTTGCTTGATATTTGATTCCAAAATCCCATTTCCATATATATATATATATATATATATATATATATATATATATATATATATATATATATATATATATATATATATAATAATTACTCTTAAATGTTAAGTTTATATATGTTCTCACAGGCTTGGCATTTCGTGATTTACATTAAGTATTATGATCTAGAGTGAAGGGTATCAATCCTTATTGTAATTAGGGTAAACTTTGATTTGAACTAATATGAACTTGATTGACTTTTATTTGAATCAGTTTAATTTACATGGACTTGAAAAATCTGGTTGTTACACCTTACAACATTTTATCACACTATCAGCTATAATCTACTTAAATCACTCGGTAGATAACAATCACTATCTAACTGCTTTCGTATCTGT